GTACTTCAAAATTGTATTTGATACACAATACAAGGTTTATGGTTTGGTACATGCACAATAGTATCAGAATCAGAATCAGATTTATTAGCCAGGTGTGTCAGACACACGGACACACGAGGAATTTGACTCTGGTACATCGGCTCTCAGTGTGCATGTACATATCCCCATGCAAGGGGCAAGTAAACCAACAATAAGATAATCACCTTTATTGGCCAGGTATGTTACACACGAGGAATTTGTTTCCAGTACAGAACTGAGGCAACACTGTATCCCCCCCCGCCCAACAGTGATTTGGAGGGCAGAATTTAGTGCCCTATAGAGATAGTTATGCTCAAGTGATTTGTAGGTGGCCTCAAGTTTCTGCAGGTTTAACTGAGTTTAAGCAGAATAAATCAGCACTTGTCTCTTACCTCCTCCCCTTCCTCTATATGATAATCCTTCCTGATATTTGGACCTCCAACAAACATGATATTCAACTGGGAAAAGTGCCTGAGGAAGAAAATCATGTCCTCAGACAGACAATGGAAATTAGTTTCTCATCTGAGTCTCATTCAGAGTTTCAATCTTTTGTTTTAAAATAGTCAAATAAACAATGTGTTGTTCATCACAGCATGAAAACCATCAGTTGTTGCAAAAAAAAGAGCTCACTATAATTACACACATATACCAATATGGCTAATATCAAAGCAAAACATATTACTCACATCAACTTGTTGCACACTGGTGGCAGAAAAGCATTCTGATTCTCTGCAACCCAGTCTTCCACATTCACAAGAAGAGAACGATCACCCATTTTGTTATGAATCGATTGGGTTTTATTGTGCAGTATTACACCACTCTGACCAGTGTGTCTGACTAGGTTAAATAATGTGACAGACACTGAAAGTCCAAAATGCAGAAGTGTTTGTAGGCCAAGTGGGGAGGAGCTCTGCGAACTGATCAAAGGTTGCTTGCACTGTCTAAACTTGTAACATGGTGTTATTCTGTGTCCATTGCAAAACTCAGGAAGTCAAGCTGCTAACATGCAGACAGTGCATAAGAAAGCCAATGCATAATTTGTGAGGAAGTAGATCCTGAACTGTGCACAGACTAATCCCTGTGAGACAAGAACATCAGTATATTGGATCTTCAACAGTGGTCAATAAGATAAACACCAAAAAGGTTCAGTGTGAAATCAAGTTTTAAAACAAGATTTTCTAATCAATTTTTGAGTAGATACACTGACCAATTAAAACCAAAAGTCATATTTGGCCTGAGACACTGCCCTTGCATACATAAAGTACAATAAACAAAATACACATCCTAGTCATATTAGTTACTCCTTGTAATTTTCAGCAATATAATTTTGTAATGTGTCTTTCATATTTATTAACACACATTTTGACACAATAAATTACAAAATGACAAATTATACACAGTATAACTTCACGTGTTGTTTACTTTTTCAGTACTCAGTTTTATCTTGCATACAGAAATTTACATTCACTATGCTTCTCAAAACAGTTTAAGCAACGGTGGGGAGAGCTTCGCCTTTACAGCAGTTGTAAACATACGTACATTTGAGTCACTACAGAATAACAATATCAGCTTACACATCCAAAGTGTTATACTTTAGCTCTTATGTTACCTCCTATTCCCACTTCCCAATTAAGAATGCCTTGATATATCTCGTATTTTATACTGGTTAAGAACCGCCGTTAAAAACCAAGAAGAAGAGTATGTCACATTACATTAGAGTGGCAAAGTCAAGTGAGCGACTGCAGCTAGTTCAGCAGCACCATGATACAGTATATGAGGCCTTGAACAGCACTAGGCCTCAGCGGTCATGTGACCTGTGGCCTCAGCGAGGAGGAGGTGCCGCCTGACAGTGGTTGCTTAGCGTGCTGCACGCAGACGTTGTTCAGATAAGTTGCATTTGTCGTTTTGAATAAAAAGAAGTAATTACAGCAGTTAAATGCGTGTTTAGCTGCTAGCATTCAAAATCTGGTGTGCTATGTCAACGAATTAGATATGAATATTATTTCAGGCTTGGGAGCGGATACATTATCCTATAAGAACTGATTCCGGTGCAGTGGGAAGGTTTGAACTGTTCACTGGAAAGTAACCATTGTTGTAACGATAATCAGGTCGAAGCTGTTGTCATTTCCATTTGCTGAGTTTCTTAAGTTTTTTTTTAACGAGTTTATATTGGAAAAACGCGGCACGCTTTTAGTGTCATGAAAGAAATGTCAAGGTAAGTCGTGCACATAGTTCATTTTTCAATTATGAACATTTTGTTCGTGTTTAAGAGGTTCTTAAATAATAGGCTAAAAGCTAACGTTAGCTAACTGTCACAACAAGGCCTGCAGCTACTCTCTGATGGCTAGCATAGCTCGAGGCTCGCTAGTTCTCTTGTTTGTTGTTGGTAACCTACAGTGTAAATGCGTCTAACAAAATGAACTGGCTTACTTGTTTTTCTTTGTGAAAATGTCAACTCTAAAATGGGTATTACCGCAAAGAGAATCATTAGTTAAACCAAGTCTTCCGTTGCAGACCGTTAACGTTTGCCAAGTTGCTAAATTAGCCAAATTGTCACCGCTTCCAAGCCGTTTGCAGCCTTTCGGCTAACGTTTGTCGCTAGCAAAGGTTGAATAACGTTTTGTATCTGTCAGCATTTCAGATTCGTGTTTGTAGTTTTGGTAAACGGGAGTTTCATTTTTGGAATTGCACACAGCTATGAAGTAATTAACGCGCGCATTGTTAAAGTAGTAAATAGAAATAAAGTGCATTCCTCTTATAGCATATAGCGCTAGTTAGCTAACGCTAACATAAGTGTTTACACATGGGTTCACGGCAATAGCGGAACAGAAACACCACACTAAACAAGATACTATCTTCACATTTGGATGGAGCTGGTAAATGCCACAGGCCATAATTGGTAACGAACCGAAACTGTGTCATTTAGCAAATGGTGAGCACGGTAGCGTTAATTGTGTTGTGTGGTAACGTTAGCTGTTATTTCACGTCCTTTCTCCCATGTCGTGTTCCCTCATAGCACCACGCCTGGTGGGCAGCAGCCTCAAAAACACTATGGAATCACCTCTGCCATTAGCCTTGCACCCCCACGAGAAATAGACCACCAGTACACCAAGAAACTCTGCGATGCTATGAAACCTTTTGGGGTATTTGAAGACGAAGAGGAGCTGAACCACAGGTGAGGAACAGAGAATGTAGTCTTGTGTTTTGCCATCCAGTACTAGTGGATATCTTTATTGCATGCCTTTCATTGCAGAAATCACAACTGCACTTTAAAATGGTGCAACCAGCAACATGAACATCTGTAATATAATGCAGTGGCACTTCTTCAGAAGTCTCAACAAAAACAGGAATTTCTAATTTTCTCTAAGCAACATTTATTTTAAGTAATCTTACATTTTAGTGTGAGGCTGTTGTGTTGCACTGCTGTCAGATGTCTTTATTTTGTTTGGGTCACAATGTTTATGCTTTGCTTCTTGAATGAACACATGTATAGTTGTATTTATCAACATTGTCAGTCTCACTGTATGATGATTTGAAAGGAGCACCTGATAAAATTGATTTCACCTTTCAGACTTGCAGTTCTTGGGAAGCTGAATAATTTGGTTAAAGAATGGATTGCAGAGATCAGTGAATTAAAGGTACGTGCTGTTGTGACAACATATGAGTTCCAAGTTAAACAGTGATGTGATGCATTTTGGAGTAACAGAGTATCAAATCAGACACTAAAAAGATTGCAGGCTTTCAATTGAACAATAAAAAGAGGAAAGCTACACTGTCTTCACTGTATATGCTTCACTTCTCTACAGAACCTTCCACCTTCAGCTGCTAGCTGTGTTGGGGGCAAGATATTTACATTTGGTTCATATCGTCTTGGAGTGCACACAAAAGGTATGTGTAAACAGCGACAAGCAAAACAACAACAACAACAAAAAAAACAAAACTGTACAGGGGTAGTAGCACAGCTATATGGTAGAAAGTTTCAATATCCAATCCAAAAACACTTGTTGCAAAACAGACTCCCCTGTATAGAGTTGCAAGGGTATTACATTTTCACAGTATGATAACCATTTCTGAAAATATCAGTCTTATGGTATTGCAGTATTACACATTTACTATTCAGTAGATACAGCACCAGAGTCTTAAGTCTTTGTATCAAATTTTACATTGGTTTTGTTGTTTGTTCACAGTTTTTAAAGGATTCGTTAGTGTCTAGCAAAACCAGGCTTCTTGATTTTTTTTGTTTGTTTGTGAAAAATATCTCCACATTGCGTTTACTTTGTATAGACTGAAACTGTCCAAAGCAGAATCAGTCAGTTGGATAGTCGTAGAAAAAGAGACAGAAAATCTGCTCCTCCATTTAACTTCTCGTTCAAAGTTGTTCACCCACGTTGTTTTATCACTTTTTAACCTTAAATGCAGCGACTCTATTCACAGCACTTATCATAATGTTACTGAAGTCATAAACCTACTGAGCAGCACAGATTGAACTGATCAAAGTGACTGTTTATTACAGGAGCTGATATTGATGCTTTATGTGTGGCCCCACGGCATGTAGAGAGAAGTGACTTTTTCCAGTCATTCTTTGAGAAATTGAAACAGCATGAAGAGATCAAAGACCTGAGGGTAAGTCTCTGCTGTATAAGCATTGGTTGTTAAAGCACAGGGCAATAAAATAACTCATCAGCAGGCAACTGAACACTTAACATCGCTGCTCCTGGGGGAGACCTCCCCTTTCTGGGAAAGCCGAATTCACTGTACTGGGATTGCAGATCCAGACTTGGTATATATTGCTAGATTATATCTTTGTCAGTCTAAGTTCATACAAATTTAATAAGTCTCTTCTCCAGAGTAATAATGTAGTAGGGAGATGAGCAGCACCCAGAAACACAGCCTATAGTCTTTCTAGGTCTGTTGGTAAAACCTTGAATTCCCAAGGGGTGTGTGTGGGCGGTTGTGGCTCAGGATATAGAGCGGTCATTCCCTAACCGGAAGGTTGGCAGTTTGATTCCCGCTCTCCCTAGTTCACAAGTGTCCTTGAGCAAGACACTGAACCTCAAGTTGCTCCTGATGGGCAGGTCAGCGCCTTGCAGGGACAACACTGCCATCGGTGTTTGTGTGAGTTGGCACCGCAGATGGCTGCCTCGGAACTGTATGGGAGACGAATTCCATTGTGTGTGCGCAACATGCTTTAGCAATAGATGTGATTAAAGTTCATTAACACCAATAAACACAAAACTGTGTACATGCTTAAGTTTTTTGTGACACTAAAAGATGTAATTTTCTGAATTTGAAGTCAAATTTTACTGAAATTGGGCTTTGGCTGTTCTTTAAGGGTCTACAAATATTTCTGTGTGCTCTAGGTGACATTTCGAAGAATTAGTATATTGAAGTTTTTATTTTACTTGTCTTTGCAAACTGTGTTCTTCACTTTGAATCTCACCTCTTCTTCATTTGGTGTTTTCATTCAGTGGAGTCAGTAACATTGCCATGTAACATTGTCATATCCAAGATTTGTGTCTCATATTGTCTCTCGTGTTTATTTTTTTTCTTTTCCACAAGGCTGTCGAGGATGCTTTTGTACCTGTGATAAAATTCAAATTTGATGGAATAGAGGTAAGTTACATGGAGAAGCAAGTGATCTTTGTTGTCTACATTAGATGCTCTTTGTTGCTGAGGTCTGACCTTGTCCCAGCTGGGATGTTGGCAAGTGGACCACGAAGATGTTGGTTAACAGAACACAGTCTACTAAATAATTGTGTAATCAACATTTTGACTTGACAACATTTTAAAGTTCACTTTAGCTGTAATTGTCCACCACAATACAATAGTTGCGCAAGGATCCTGGATCTTCACTTTGGGTCACTCTAAAACAAAAACTACAGATTTTCTCAAATTTCATGGTACAGGATGGTGGTCCAGCTTGTAGTTCAGGTCCACTAAAAGTTGCAGTAGAGAACAGTAAAGCTAGTATGAAATAATGGGACAGAGATGAGTATTGCCATGACTCCTGTTCCTGTATCTGCATACATGTGAAACCTGTGCACAGTTTAGTTGGCATTTAAAGACTTGAACTGTGCCTGGGTGAAATCTGAAGAAAGGAATTCAAAGTCTGCTTTTTGATGAAAATGCATATTAGTTTTAGTCTTTTGATTTGTTAGATTGTCAAAGACTAAATACATTTTAGTCTAGTTTTCATCATTTTAAGCTGCATTTTTAATATTTACTGTAGACTAAGACTTCATCCTAGTTGTGTACAATTACCATTGTTACACGTGTATAATGAGGTTTGTGGAAAACTTCTATATTCACACAGTGTCCCTCTACTTTGCAGAAGTTGGTCTCACATTTGTAATAAAATCCTCTTCACTCAGTTCAGAGGTGACGCTAAATCCTTGGATAAGATTAAAACAGTGAGATCTCTGCAGCGAACATTTAGTGATGATTTATGGTCAACTGCCCATATTAATCCTGGAACTTACCGATTGCAACATAAAAGATGTCCAACTGAAAGGAACATTGTTACATGTGCATCCACAGTGATTTGTATTAAATTATCTTACCGTTTCATAATGCGTGCTGCTGTATTTTCCTAGTGTGTCCCAGCATTTTTTGTATGTAATTCTGTAGATGAATATGATTCTTAAACTTGTTTTTTCCATGAAGCACTAACGCCAGAGACAGAAGGTTACTGATGGTAAGACGATAGTGAAACGCATCAAGCGGCTAATTCAACTCCTGAACAAGAGATATTTTGTTTGGTGGAGGAAACCGTTTTATTTATAAGCGCCTACAGTTTGGGATTCTACAGATGCAGCAGGTCGTTAAGTTACTTCATGACTATTTGTCCGTCTTTCACGTTATTCTTTACTTTTTATTCAGTAATGAAAAATGTGAAACATTATATAGACTTTTATTTTCGTCCTGTAAAAAAGGCTGCCAGTGAATTTTTTTCCTCATAGTTTTTGTTTATGAAGTTAACACCGTCCTACTGAACATGCAGTTTTTTTTTTATAAAGTGTGTGTATAATTTATTTTTCCCAGGGGCTTTCATGATCCAATGCTGCACAAGAGAGAAAAGTATATTTTCAGGCTTTTCCCAAGGTGCTGCTGTTGACTTCTCAGTGCGCTCTTTGTAAACAAAGCACTTCCAGTACACGAGTGAACATGCATCCAGTATAGATATAAAGTTAGAGATGCTCTGCTGCTCATATTACAAAGGCTCATACCTTTTTTTTTGTAGTATTTTAACCTCAGTCCCTTCATGTATTTAATTCTGTGAACAACCATGTTTCAACATGTGTATCACATGCAACTCTAAACAGGCTCGATGGATACACTTTAATCTCTACTGTCTTGCCTATTTTTTTCCTCTGTCTGAGCAGATTGACCTGCTTTTTGCCAGACTGGCCTTACAGTCCATTCCAGACAACCTGGACCTAAGGGGAGACTCCATCCTGAGAAACTTGGACATTCGGTGTATCCGCAGCCTTAATGGTAAACTGCATGCCATATTTGTATCCATACAATAGAGAAATCGTTACTGACTTGAGGCTGTGATACGATTGTTGGTGCTGTTTGATAAAATGCCATTTAACAAGTATAAGATTAAGCTTGTATTACATCAGAATTGACAGGTACAGTGGCTTCATAATAAATTAACCCCCTTTACTTTTTGCACAGTGTTGTAGATTTAATTTTATGTGGATCAAATTTCCACAAAATGGTAACTTTATCCATTTAAAATTATAACTCAGTGTGCACACATGGATCTGAATATTTTGTAAAACCACTTTATAGGAATCTATGCAGTGGTTTGTTGCCATCTGAAATGTAAACCTTGTCTTTTGTGAATTAACACATGAACTGTTAGAATGTGATGCTTATCTGACTGTGGTTGAGATTTATGTTTTGTCTTGTTAAAGGCTGTCGAGTGACTGATGAAATTTTGTATCTGGTGCCAAACAAAGAAAACTTCAGGCTTACATTGAGAGCCATCAAACTGTGGGCAAAACGTAAGTGGATTCAGAATTTAATTTTATTATGTGAATATAATCACGTTGGCCCATTATCAGTATAGACCTACAATAATAGTGTATATCAGGGGTGTAATGTACACAAATCATCTGTTTTGATGTCACCATTTGGGTCATTTTTGGTACAATAAGAGATTTTTTTTTTCAACAAAACATAAAATATACACAAAATAAAATAGAATAAAAACAGAATGCTGCTGCAAACTACTAAGTGTTCCAATAACAAAGGAAAGGCTATGTAAATGTTGTAAGCAGTTTGTACTACATTCATTTTTCCTTGCAGCAGGGTTATTCAAGTTCATGTGGTTCCATTTCAGATGTTAGAAAGTCTGACCTGTTCCCAAAAACCCGATTACTACTGAACAAACATTAAGTGGTGGACTGGAGCGCAATAAACAAATAAGACATCTTATGCACTTGTCTTTGTCCATTGTTGCATTTCACTGGGATACCATAATGATAAGGGAGGGTGTTGTAGCTCTGGCTTCTTGTTTGAGTTGACCATGATGTTTGCTTGCCAGAGGCTGGGCAAAGCTAAGCACGCTCCTGTCCACCACATAATATGTTCATGGGGGGAACGCAGGTTTGAAATAAATGTTCCATCCATGCAAAAAAACCTGCTGTTACCTATCATTAAAGATTGCATTCAGTACACATCTGTGCCAGGTCCTGTAATGAAACGGTTTTGCACAAATACTTGTATCTTTACACCACTATTATACCATTATAATATGTCAAACATATGTGCTTTAAAAAGCAGTTTGTAGAATTAGAAATGTATTTACATCCTACAGATGTCGTCCACTTGATTGTATTGTATATTCAACCAATTGACTCTATGCTCAAATTGACGTGAGCCAAGGTGATGTTATTTTTATGTCACCAGTATTTCTGCTGGTAACATTTCTGTGGCGTGCCACAGTTAAAAGAAGGGGAAAAAAGCAATCAATCAACTAACCCAAGTCTGAGTGACTTGCCTGGGAACCCTATAAAACAACGAGGCAAGTCATATTCACAGGTGCAGTTAAGACCAGTTCACCATGAGCATGTTTTAAACTCATTTGTCATGCAGCAGATAGAACTACTATGAATTAAACTACTATAAATTATCTTTAATATCAGCTCTTGAGCTTTAGGTTTCACTTTGCGCCATCCTCTGTAGTGAGTTGGAAAAAAATCACTAAAAGCAATGAAGGAATCCATACATAAAAATGTGCTGATTTCTTCCAAGTAACCCTACATGAAAACTATTTTTGTTCAGTTCATTTCCGCTGTTGGTAAGCCCAGTGGACACAGTTTGTCTGTCCACTGTCAGAAGCTACAGACAGATGTGACGCATCACTCACGTCTCTTCAGTGAAGCACACGAGGGCAGCAGTTGTGGAGGACTAAATTTGTAGCAAGTATGAGAAAAACTTAGATTATAGGTGTTACTGATAACTAACTGGCCTATATTAATCCATATAATTATTAGAACATGGATTACAGATGGGAGATAGCTAAGGGGAAGTAAAGAGAGAAGAATGTTTAGGTGAGGAGAGAGGAAGGTAAAAAGAACATTAAATCTGGATGGTACCCAGATTGGCCTTATTTTCCAATATTCAAGCCTTGGTTTGAATACAAAATTACTGTGTAATATAAATGAAAATATACAAATGAAAACATTGTAAATATAATCAAAAAGGTATGTACAACAATAAAAGTTGATTAGTAAAAGTAGTTTCAATTCCAAATACCCACAAGAAGCACTGTGTCACTGACTTGTAATGTGCCCTCTGCCTGCAGGTCGAGGGATATACTCCAACATGTTGGGCTTTCTGGGTGGAGTATCGTGGGCCATGCTGGTGGCCAGGACCTGCCAGCTCTACCCTAATGCTGTGGCTGCCACGCTTGTCCACAAGTTCTTTTTGGTTTTCTCTAAATGGTGAGAATCTGGTTCTTTGCATATTGAATTTCATTTTTGTCTTCTTCCACTCGATGGCAGTATTTCACAGCTTTGTGCCATTGAAGTTCACACTGATTTACTCCGTGTCATTTCTGATATACAGGGAGTGGCCAAACCCTGTGCTATTGAAACAGCCTGAGGACAGTAATCTGAATTTACCTGTGTGGGATCCCAGAGTGAGTATTACAACAGTGTTTTTAGTTCCAGGTGTTCATAGTGTTATTTTGCCCCCATTTATTGTGCGTGTTGCTGTGCAGCAACAGGAAACACTGAGCAGAGTTGATTTGCTGCTTGAAGTTTAGTGTTTGTTTTTTGTTTTGTTTTTTTTAAGTTAGCTGAGCAGATAGAGGATTGCTACATTTATTGTCCGTTATTTTAGGTCTCCTCTGTCCTTATGTGACCACAGCATTGATCAGGTCCCCTATCATGAGTTCCAGTGCTCTTAATTCTGTTTAGAGATGGCTTCCCAGAGCAGGGAAGGCTTCCTGTGTGGATGTCTTGTAATCGACGGACCCACTCTTTCAAAGAAAACACTTTAGAAGTTGATTAGTACTACAGATCTGACACTGGTGTTTAAATGACATCAGTACAAAGCTGTAGTCAAAATCCTGTGTGGATGGCAATGTGTGCACTGCAGTAACCATTTGTCAAAGCCACCTGTACACACTCTTGTCTTCATTTTGCCGCAAACCCCTTCAAGTCTTTATAGTTTGAGTATTTCTTTTCTAGGTCAGGCTGTGGATATTTATTTTGCCTTTGGCTTGGTTTCTGTGTTGTTGTTGGTTTTTTTTTTCATATAAATCTTTCTCAAACTCATTGGTTGTTGCCTTAATTGAAAACATTCTAACCATTGAAAATGCTGTGTGATGTTTGTGTCCCTTCAGTAATAAACACATTTTAATTGTCTGTTGGTGTTTCCATTAATTCACAGTAAGGCAACCAATCACGGAAGCAGATGTAGCTTCAGATACAATTTAAGATGTAATTTTCCAAATGTTTGGGCCATTTTATTATTATTATTTTTTACTTGGAAACATTCTTATCATAAATGAGAGCATTAAAAATGTTTAAACAGAATGAATTACAAAAGTTAATATGGTGGTAAACCAGTATCCAGTCTAAAACATTGTTTTTCATATATTTCATATTGTTTTATCATATTTAATTGTGGTTTGACTGACCTATTAAAATAGGTTTTTGTTTTTGCATGTGCTTGTTAAGCAGCTGATTTTAAGGCTTAGTGTGCACATGTAATATTTTATATTCTTTTGTCTTGTTGAAGAAAATAAAATGACAAACTAATAAGACAAGTACTGGTGATTGTGAACCAAGGCAGTGCGTCACATTATCTGTGCAAATACCAACTGCAATAGATCAGTTATGTAGTCTTCATGAGTAACTGACAGATCGCTTCACATGATGTTAAAGAGGGAAACACATCTCATTTAAAAACATTCCTTGATTGCTGCTCCTTTGCATCACCTGATGAAAAAAATGCGAATGAGGGAAACATGCAGACAGTGAATTGGGATGTACTGTGTGTGGTAGCTTTTAGTGTGTGGGTGTGTGGGTGTGAAATTGGCCTACTCATTCAGTTTAACAGTGTGCTCATGTGGGTTAGTGAAGTCTCTTATTCTTGCAGTGAACCCCTGTGGTTTTTTTTGTATTTTTTAGGTGAACCCATCTGACAGATACCACCTGATGCCCATCATCACACCTGCCTATCCCCAGCAGAACTCCACATACAACGTATCCACATCTACGCGCACCATCATGAGCGAGGAGTTCAAATATGGTAATGCAGAGTTCACAAGTGAAACGTGTGCGTGTATAGGAATATAAGACTATGTAAACAGCATATTTCTGCTTTCTGGTAACCTTGAGAAGTTCTTAAAAATGTTTAGTTTTGAGGAAACCAGTGGTAACAACACATTCCTCTTCCTCTGAGTAGTATATCTTTTGTTTTCCAAAGTGTCACTTTGAGCGACTTCTCAAACCCATATTTCTGAATGTGTTTGTCATAAACAGGGCTGAGCATCACAGATGAGATTCTTCAGGGAAAAGCAGAATGGTCAAAACTCTTTGAGCCACCCAACTTCTTCCAAAAGTACAAGTGGGTATTGATTTAGTCAGACAAAGCAGAGAATGATCACCTTAGACCAAAACAAAATGAATAATTCCTCTAGAGCAGCATGTTTCTAACTTATTAACAGGTTTAAAAAATTGTCATCTATTAAATAGCCTGGTTTACATTAACAGTTTTGCCAGGCCACACGTGTATTTGTGACTATTTCTTTTCCCAACTAATTGTTTTCACTTGTTGGAGTTGGGGCAGATTTGACACATGATACAGGTCAAAAAGATGCACAGGTGATTGTCACAAGATCAGTGTACATTTCCAGTAGTTTTTCAACAAATGAGATGTTTTTCATTCAGTTATTGTTTAGAGGCTTAGTCACTCTTTTGGTTGATTTTCTGTTTTGTGCTGCAGGCATTACATTGTTCTGACTGCCAGTGCATCCACAGAAGAAAATCACTTAGAATGGTAAGTCCCAGACAACCAGGTTTCTATTAGTAAGTGGAAACTATCCTCATTGTGTTGAAATTGCAATGGTGCATTTCAGTTGAGCAACCAGCACTGATTGTTGCACTGTGGAGGCACTTCATTCTCTGCTCAGATACTGTATGTGTGTGAGAGGAGAATCCTCACAGCTCTGAAAACATCAGAACAAATTCTAAATTGACATTACTTGGATAGACTGACCACATATTCTCAGTCTAAGTGGCTACTATGTCACCAGAAAAAAAATGTCAAAATGGGATAATTCCAGTCCTACAATGTACAATAAGAATGTCAACAGCTTTGAGCCTGGCTCAAAACCTCTGCCATCAGGCTGTCATCTTGGCTGTCGCTGCATGGAGGAGCTCCAGCTGTGTATGTGCTTGGAGTACTCAGCAGGACAGCTTTGTACTTTGGCCACAAGGGGGCTCACATGCAGTCAACAACTTTTACAGCATTCACAATCGTGAATAATAGTTAAGATATAACTGTATACACATTATGATACAAATCAGTACCAACATTTAATCAGTTGTTCTAAAGGCCATACCCTGCCTCTCAAACATTTAATCAAGATCCATTTGTTACTTTTTGAGTTTTGCTGAATACAACAATCATTCCCAAAAATTTGTTTAGCAGTGCTATACTTGAGGGTGAGACATCTCTGGGCATGAGCAATCTGCAACAACAGTACCCTGCAATCTTACATAAGACATATGAACAATCTTAAGTTTGTTGTTGTGAATTTCAGACAGGGTGAAATGAAGCAAAAGTTGGAATACTCCCTGAAAATGTATAAACAAAAAGCACTAGTAAATGTCCATCCACTCTGTTGAAGCTTAAGCATGAAATAGACTCGCTGTAGCATGTCAGTTAGTTGTGCATTAATTGTCCCAAGATGACATATTCATTTATAACTTCAATAACATACAGTCCAAACTAACTGTAGCTCCTGATAAGTAAAATCAAAATCTTATTCAGAAGTTAATTCAGCCACGTGATCTGTTGCCCTACTGTTAATAAGAGAAGCAACTTACATTCAGCAATGCTCTTTCTGTCCGCTGAAGTTGTACCTTATTGAAAGAAATGGCTTTTTGAATTCAGTGCACCCACTGAAAATTTGACAAGAAGACAGCAGCTGATACAAACTAGGAAAATGCAGGTACATTATTGAAAATGTAAGGTCATTTAACTTGAAGTGGTGTGGATGTAGATGTATCATTTAAAACCACTTTCAGTTGGATATCTTAAGGTTGCTATCAAAAGGAATGAATAAGTTCCAGGAGTAATGTGGGCAGTCAACCATGCAAATATTCCTCTAGATGTTTGCTACGGAACTACAGCTGTATTAATTGTATCTGACAATGTAGCTTCTTCTCTTAAGCTAAAACCAGTGATCAGGATCGTATTCCACTGCAGAGATGGTGACAAGACATCCACAGATGTAGCCTCATAATGCCTAGAAGATAAAAACATAAGAAACTAGATATTTGTCTTTTGCCAACAGTAATATGCATATTCAACAAAAGACTAAGATGAAAACAAAATGAAATTCAGGTGCCAAAAGGAACACTGCAGTACTATGAAAAGAACTTGAATCACCACTACCTCTGTAAATACCCCCTGGTGTTCTCCCTCAGGATTGGCCTGGTAGAGTCAAAGATCCGTGTTCTCGTGGGAAACCTGGAGAGAAATGAGTACATCACCTTGGCTCACGTCAACCCTCAGTCCTTCCCTGGGTCCAAAGAGAATCGCAACGAGTGAGTCCAGTGTTACCCCTTCATACAGACAGCTGAGTGTGAATGTATCGGCAGGTTTTAGAGTGCGTGTGTGTATAACTACCTTGAACATTAAAAGCATAGTAAATTATTCAATTTATTGGTTATTTTCAATTACAGTCTTGTGTGTTTCTGCAACAGAAATGACTTTGTGTCCATGTGGTTCATTGGGATCATCTTCAAAAAAGTGGAGAATGCAGAAAGTGTGAATATTGACTTGACGTACGACATCCAGTCCTTCACTGATACTGGTAGGCCTTGTCATAACACTTGGTTTTCTCTGAGTGGTTGTGGGACAACTTAGTCAAACACACAATGAAGTCTGCAGAAGTGCAGGCCATATTCACACAGCTTACATTGGCACTGTGCTTGGATTTCCAACACGGGGGTGTTTTTGATTTGGAAATGGATATGATGTATAGAAAATATTCTCATGACTTTTTAATGTATTTTGTGTTAAAGTAGACCAATTTTATTAATAAAAGCTTTTGTTTACACTTTGGCTCAATGAAGTATTAGCTCAGCAATGCACATGACTGTGGCACACTTCTTTGAAAAAGCACTGCAATAAAGAGGCTGCTTGTTTTGTTTTCATATCGTTGTGATCTTTGGGACTAATTTGGAAGTTGTTTAATAACAGTAGGCCAGTTATGCCCCATATGATGTTTAGAGACCAAAAGAGGAATGAGTGTTGACAAGTTTAAAAGAGGTGTACTGGATATTCTTTATGGTTTTGAAAGTTGTGCTTGGACTTGGATAAGGCTACATTTACCAGACTATGTTTTCCGACTGAGGACAGGGTGAGTAGAGAATGTATTCCCCCATTTGTACCTTTCAAGTTAGTGTAAGGATTCACATTTAGAAATGGATAGTTTTGGTGGTCCTGTCTTTTTGAAACTGGTCACGGTGTGTCCACAGCCATTGTCCCTTTGACATGTAGCCTACAGCTTGTTAGCTTTTTAGCATTTTAGACCAATATCTACAATTTGTTTTGTTTGTGCCTGTAGTTTGTTTATTTTTAGATTATAACAGTAACCTACAGTAGGTATCCAGTCATGTTCAGGTGTTATCAACCCTTCAAGTCACGCTATGCTCAGGGGAGGATCTAGAAGATTTAATGGTGTGTCACACTGGGCCCAGGCTCAGGGTTTCACATTTGAAATACATGTAAAAAGTAAATTAAACCCTCAGTTCAATTAAATAATAAACCATACGCGCTTTCATTAGCTAACAGGCTGCGCTCCTTATTTACTTCTGGCTGGGGACATTGCTACTGTACAGTAGTACTAGAAAAATGATAGTTGTATTTAAGTCGGTTAGTCATATGTTTTTCATTTTACAATTTGTCTATTACAGCAAGACTGCAGGTAGTATTTGAAGATAGACATTCAACAAGATCAAGTGTTTAAAGGTTAATTCCAGCCTTTTTTGTTTTGGAGCTCTGCACATAATCGTATACTTTAGTTGGCATCTGATATCTATACAAGGCATTTTTCCAGCAAAATTTTTAAACTGTTATTTCAGCTCAATTGTAGCTAGTTTCTGTAATTTTAGGTTTGAAAGTCACTGATCGTGATGACACACACAAGAGTCCAAGGTCTGCTTTCTTAAACCCCACCCTCACACTAGCTGTATGCAAAGTATGTTAGCATTAGCAAGCTTGTTAAGAGGCAATGAAGTACATTGTATATCAGTGAGACTTATTATTCAGCAAGGGCAGTAAACTCAACACACTGGTATGCTGATAAGTCTGTTGTATTCAGAGCTTCACAAGATGTTTTGGGCTGATGAACAGTACATTTAACCGTGAGCAGCAGCTACACACTGACTCCTCCTCACAGGCGCACGCACTGCAGAGCCTCTTATATAGTGCCGCTAGCTCATGTCTCAAAGGGCCATGAACATCCCTCACTGATGCATTTGTTAGATCGTTTGGGGGAGTGAAATGTGAGGGCGTTGATACACTTCAAGTTCCAAGGAGTTCAAGCAGAAGAAATGGCCAGTATACATTTGGGTTGTGATGTAGAGAAAGTCTAACAAGTGCAAACAATGGTTTAAGAAGTCAGGGAGCCTTGATTAAGTGTTCTCTGCAGTGTACAGACAAGCCAACAACATCAGTATGCTGAAGGAAGGGATGAAGATTGAAGCAACACATGTGAAGAAGAAACAGCTCCACCAATATCTTCCTCCTGAGCTGGTGCAGAAGAAGAAGAGGGTGACATATCTTGTGCATGTTGGCATAAATCATATATTGGTTTTACACATATTGTGATAATTGTCTTAATACTTGTTTTCTCTTCTTTGCTATCTGCGTTTGTTTCCCCCATCATCTTTTCTGCAGAGTATAGCCGAGTTAAACCGCAGCTCTAATGGTGGGAGTGCTAAGCGGCTGTCTTTGGACAGTATTCACCTGGACAGCTCTAGAGACACAGACTTAGGGACTCCCTTTAGTTCCCCTCCCAGCAAAATCGCTAAACCTTCATCTGACACAGAGGACAGGTATAATACATGTTCCCTTCTGGTGTTGTCATTCTGCTGTTTCTACCTGATCCCTGTGACTTTGATTTTAATTTTTGTATTCCCAGATCTTCTTTCTATATTCTTTTTGTTGTTGTTGTTTTCCGTATGTTATGGTTCTCTACAGTGGTCAGGCTCAAATCTGTACTGTGATTCTTGATAAATGTGTGTTTCTTCGTATTTTTAAGTGTCAGCCCTCCCAAGCAGTTTTCCCTGGAAGGCTCCCCAGTGGCCAGTGCTGCAGCTGCTGCTAAAGACCAGGGCATGTTTATTCCTGTCATTGGCTCAAGTGAGGTTCTCACCGACAACTACACACTACATAACTGTATTCTCTATTAAGTAGGGAAATGTAATCTTCCTTTTTCAGGTATATGTTTTAATATTTAGTACTTGCATTAATTGTTGCATGGTATAATTGGCACCCCCATTCTCTAGTCATCATATACTGTGTATATATACATAATAAATACGGGTCTTCAAGCTAGTGTGCAATGCTAATTAACAAAAGGATGTTGATATTGGAAATGTTGAAAGCATGCCATTGTCTCAAAGACTAAACATCCTGATCCAATTTCTTCATGTCTATCTCTTTGTCACTGTAAAGAGCCTCCAGTTAAAGCAAAGCCTCCTTCCCCACCGGCCAGCAGCTCCACGACCACAACACTGAGCGGCAACGTGAAGCCAAACGCTACCAGCAGCCCCAGGGAGGAGCCCAACGGCCTGGAGGACTCTGTCAATGGAGCTCCTGCCAAGAGACCGCACTCACCTACGCAAGAGGACACAGCCAAGAGACACAAAGATGCAGAGGTAGGGAGATGTTTCGTTGTGGATGTGTTTTGAATACACAGGTTTAAACTTAGACATATTTAATGGAATTTACAGTAACTGTCATGCAGACTAGATATTGTGATTCCTGATGTATGTTTTTCTGCAGGTGGTGTCCAGTGATGACTCTCTTTTTAAAGAGCCGTATCCACCATCCTCCTACTCTGATGCACAGGCAGAAGGACCCAATACTGTAGGTGTTATTTTCTCTGTCTGCTTTTATTCACCATTTCTCTAGGTTAGATAAGACAGAGTGAACGGTTTCGCTGTTTCTCTTCACCATTAGAGCCCCCTTTCTGGATCAAAGGCAAAGCCCATTCCAACCATCGATACCTCAAGAACACAGGTATAATCGTCTTTGTCGACTTCAATTTCAATCAGAGTGGTTTGATTTAATAAAGCTGGACTAATTATTTTGTGTAGTGGACTTAAGTTTAGTTAAAGTGGTCAAATTGCACATGTGGAGTTTTTTTTTTTTTTTTTTTGCAAGAGGTGTGGCCGGGGAGACCCTGCTTTCGGATGGAGGAGTAGAGACAGTAGAGAGGAGTAGTGAAACCAGTAGCTGGTTGTTCTTCATTATGCCGGTTTGTGTCCCGCAGAGACTTCCCAGCATGGAGCTGCCAGACGCCTCCTCACCGCTCCCAGCCAGCAACAGTTGTCGTGTTGTGAAAAATTCTATTAAACTGGCTCTCAACCGCCACATGTGAGCTTTATCTGGTTTTCTAGAACCATGAGGGTGGTTTAAACCTTTTGTTATTTGATTGTTTACTTTGTATATCTGGGTGTGTTTCAATGTAATGCAGTATCACACCTCCAAAGCCCCCAGTGTTTGAAGGCACTCTCACCATGGACGCTCCTCCTGCCAGTGAAGAAAAGGGCATGTCCATTCCTGTCATTGGCTCAAGTGAGTTTACTTTTTCACCATCAGGTCTGGTAGTTGAAGTCCTCAGTGTTTTGTCCAATGTTCAATTTGTCAAGAAGAAAATTCTGGCAATATTTGTTGGTAACCTTTTTCTCGAAGATGAACAAAATAAACACTGATTAAAAAAATTAAGCAAATATACATTTCTGTGCCAGTAATGTTAGCTAACAGATTCATGGACTAAATACATCCAGAATCCCACTAAAAATATGAATAGACACTCCCATAGCTGGATCAAACCACAAAAAGAAACGGCACCGCATGCCAGCATTTCTTCTAAATGTGTAAGTTAACATTAATGTAACATTATATCAACATCCACATAGTTTGTGGTTCTAAAGTTGTGTGCAAACTGTCTAATGGTCAATTTTTATCTGGATGTGTTCCTTGGAGGAACCATATAGTATTCTTGTTCTCTAACATTAAACTAACCCAGACAATGAAAACGCTTTTGTTGAACAAGTGAGTCAGCTCAGCTTCCTAATGGTCAGGCTGTTCTGCACTGTTGAAGACTGGATAGTGAACCACTGGCTTGGTTCAGTTTAGACCTGACAGCTGTATGTACTGAGGGGAGTCGAGCTGGAATTGTTTCTCCAGCACACACGTAAACGTCTCTGCACACCTATGCTAAAAGGGTCACTGGTTGATTCAAGTCCTGTTGAGAGGGTTTATTGACTAGTCTGCAATTGAGATGTAATCAACATGTTTTCCACCTGGTGGTAGACAAGAACAACACCTGTAACTGTACACAACGATGATCAGTGTCACAATGACAGATCAAGACTTTTGACAAATGTGACCAAACTAAACTGGCTTTTTGTCAGTAGACCAACTAACACAATCAGGTGCCAAAACAGTCTGTGCTTTGTTTCTTTCTGCAGACCACATGGCATCCAAAAACTTGGCGCCCCCCGTCGGCAGCTCCATTCCTACATTAGTGAGCCGAGGAGCAGAGCCGCTGAACGGAACGACCTCCAAGAGACCCCACTCCCCATCTGTGGAGGAACAGGCCAAGAGGCTGAAGGAAACCGAGAAGGCCAGAATCCACATAGCTTGAACACACAGCTAGTAGATTGAATCCATACACAATGAGAGCACAACAAGGGAGTGTGTTCAGGTCGGTCAATCCCAGTGTGACGCAGCAGGATGGACACCTCGGCTCAAATCTTCAGATTACAGATTTGCTAGTGATTAGGTGATTTGGTCACTGTTGGCAGTACTCTCTGTCTCACTTGCAACCAGAGGGCATTTAACACAACTCCTTAGAGATATCGGACATGAGAACTAAAGATTTTTACTCATCTGCTCCCTCAGTGTTTAAAAATGTACACAGTACTGGCAGAAATGAGCTGCTGTTCTGTTCTTTTTCCTCGTGTTTTAATACAGCTCATAATGTTTATCAAAAGTTGCTACACACACTTCTGGTGTATGCTGACAACCCCCCTCCCCCCCAGACAGAAACCTGTACAGTAAATGTGGATGTACATACTTTTTTGTCTTAAAAAAAAGCGAAAGATCACTAAGTCTTTTGACCATTCTATTGTAGTTTTATCTAAAAAGAAAAAAAAAGTTTAAAAAATTGCTTTGTTTTTCCTCTACTGCCTGTCTAAAAAATAGTCCCCAGCCCTGGATCTTGTTTTGTAAACACTGTATAGATTTGAATACAGTTGCAGGGAGCATTTATTGAGGGTTTGTTTGGATGTAACTTGGATCCATGACTCTTTGGACCACCATGACTATGTGAAGAGGAACTCCAGGTTGGTATTGAAATTACAGTGTGTAGGTTATCGTACACACCCTGTGACATCAGAGCTCCTCAGGTGCTGGTAAGAGCAAGTAAATCATCCTTGCAGCAGGACACACCATACATTTTTCTGGAAGTGATGAAACTGTTCTCAGTCACTGCTTAGTTCCTGGAAGAGTTAATACAGAACCATAGCAAAATGCACTTAATCCTTCTATTCAGTGTAGTGTCAGTGTTACACCAATTTATTTTTTTTATTTTTTATTTTTTTGTCTTTAATTGAAAGTAAAGGTTGTGCTTTTGGCTCCCCAGATGTCAGATGAGTGTGGTTGACCCAAAACCGCAAGGGCTGGACAGTTTACAGACACAATGAAGTGTTTAAACATCGGTTTGCGTACATGGCTGTGATGGGCAGATTGACACCTAAAATTAGCATCTGGTCCATCAGGAACGCTAAACAACATTAAAAAAAAAAATTCAGAATAGTACTTGACCACCACCCCTTGTCTGTGGTCTGTCCCCTTGTGAACCTTGATCCTGATGGAGCTCAGTCCTAGTTGTTTTTTGTGTTCCATGTCCACGAAAAGAGTTTATGGTGCTTTGTGAAAAATGGTTCAAAGCTTTTTGATGAGTTGTACTGGTTTGTGTGTGTATGCATGCATATATGGTTGACTGTGTGTGTGCATGCATAGATGGTTATGTTCATGTGTTGGAGAGAGACAGATTTCCCTGTATTTTTGGGTGTTAACCCTCTGCGCCTCCTGTGGAGGTTCTTAAAAAGGCATCTCCTGGGGTCGGGGGGGGGGTGTAGGGAAAAAACTTTTTTTTTTTTTTTTTTTTTTTTTTTTCCCCCCCCCTGCCTTGAGCCCCAACCCTCCATCTTTATGGGCTGAAGCTGGGTGTTTTTTGTTTGATTTCACCACAGAGGTTGTACGTATACAACTAGTGATGCTAAAGAAGCACCCTCTTCATCTGAGCAGGTAAGGAGTGGGGACACAGGCTCTTTTTCCAGCATCACTTTGCCCAACTAAATGTACAGAGAACAGTTTTTTCAAAAGGCATATTCATTATTGGGGGTTTTCTTATCACTTTATTTATATTTGCATATTTGTACCATGTGATCTTTTTTTAAATATCATTCATAGCAGGTAGGCCTTTTGAGATCTCTTTCAGACAACTCATGTTTTGCTGTTTGGAAACATTTAACAAAACAGGTCATTTAGATGTTTGTTTCTAAAATGTATTGAAAGGGTATTTTTGTATGTGTTTATCACTTCCTTTAAATGAATCCGTACACCAATTAAAACCCCTAAAGACTACTCTGGTGTTTGTTTTGTTAATATAATTTTACATTGTTGTTTCCAGTTGCACCACAGTATGGCAGCATCAGTAGTATTAGTAGGGATGTTATGACCTACACATCTTGATGGTTTTCTTGTAAAATGTCAGTTCACCTAATACATTCAGTTTCAAGCCTATCGGTCCTTTTTATACAGTTTTTATACACAGGTTAAAGAAACATGTTAATTAGTGAGCTTCAGGTGGTTGGTGGGTTTTTTTCTTTTTTTTTTTTCTTTTACCTGTGGACAGAGCTGCGCTAACCTTTCACTGGGATTGCAGTCTTTATGCAACACTTAGCTGTCGGTGTATGAGGTGTATTAGGCAACAAGTGAACATTCAGTCCTTGAAGTTGATGTGTTGGAAGCTGGAAAAATTAAGGATCTGAGTGACTGACAAGGACTGTGATGGCTGATGACTTGGTTAGAGCATCTCCCAGACTGCAGGTGTTCCCGGTTTGTAGTGAGTAGTACCTACCAACAGTGTCTTAAGGACAAAAAAAAAAAGGTTGAAAATGAGAAACACTACACTGGTCTCCATGAAGAGAAACATTCAGCATAGTGATATCACACCTAGAGTGGGGAGGCTGTTTTCACTCTACCCATGTTTTTTTACTAAATGGTCAAAACATTTGTGCTCTTCCTGTCAGTAGAACTGGAAGCCAACTGATTCACAGAAGATGCACAGTAAACAGAGTGACACGAGTTCCAACCAAGTGCTGCATTGACACAGTATTAGGTAGGTGGTCATAATGTTATGGCCAGTCAGTGTATCTTTGGGTTGTTCCAGCTTCATAGTTGTGTACAAAAATGAGAGTGGTATCAGTCTTCTCAACTAAGTCCAAGGCTATTTCCTTAAATGATTTCAACAATCTTTTTCTTCATTGTGAAGCACAAATGTAAAACTGCATCCTGCACAAAATCACCATGTTGGCTGGCATCAGATTATCCTGGTGGTGCTGCTTCCATGCTTCACAGTGCCACATGTGATATGCACCAGGTTTACTGTGACTCACAGCTAAATCATGATTAGACTGTTTTACTTTTTTCATTTACTTTAATTCTTTCTTTTGGCCTTTTTCCCTCCAAACGCAAGGATGCTGTCAAAATTGAGCCTCCTGTACTGTAGCTTATGTGGTATCATACTGTGATGGTATTGTGAATAACATTCCTTGGAAAAAGTTTGGACCTTACCTTACAAATATATTTTGACTGAGAAAAAATTTCAGTATAAATGTTATCCAGTCGCCCTTTTCCCTTAAGATTTACAAAGGACATTGGCAACTGTTAATTCTGGAATTTGTTCTCCTGAAACTACTGTGCATGTGTTTTGTACCTGTAATTGTACTGAATAATTTTGTTCAAACTTTTATTCAAAGTAAGATTCTTAGGAATTTTGATTACGAGGACGATGACAAATTTTTTGATAAACTTTGTTTATAATTGCTAAATATTAGCCTATATTCACAAATGTAAATTTAACTAGAGAAATGGGGGAGAGACAGAGAGAGGAGTTATGTAGGGGCATGTCTCAATTGCGCTGTGTTTTATGAACTACCCGATGGCACTCCAAGACTGTCATTGACTGAGCACTTTGAGCTCCCATTGAGTTGTATTGCAAACAATAAAGCTGTATCAATTAAAAAGTATAAACGGTATAAAAAAGAAAAATGCAGGCAGGGATGTCCTTAAACAGTTGAGAAAAAGAGAAGTTTAAGTTGAGAAAATGTCTGAATAGAAGCATGAATGTTCTTGAGGAGCTGAACATGAAATAGCTGAAAGCATGCTGAAGGAGAATTTTTTCATTCATTTGAATGGTGCAGAATTTTCAGAATAAAGCTAAATAGCCTCAACACGGACAAGACGAAGGAGATGATAGTGGACATGAGGAAGGAGAGGAGAAGTCATCGGCACTGTTCATCCGGGGGCTCGAAGTGGAGAGGGTGAGCAGCTTCAAATACCTGGGCGTCCACATCAGTGAGGACCTCACTTGGACACTTAACACCACACATCTGGTCAAGAAGGCCCAATGGCGACTGTACTTCCTGAGGAGGTTTGGCATGTCGCCTAGAATCCTTTGCAACTTCTACAGCTGCATCATTGAGAGCATCTTGACCAGCTGCATCATTGTCTGGTATGGCAGCACTACTGCTATGGACCGCAAGTGCCTGCAGAGAGTGGTAAAGACTGTTGAGAAGATCACCAGGACTCCACTGCCCTCTCTGCAGAGCATTTACCACCGCAGGGTGCGTAGGAAAGCTGCCTCCATCCTCAAAGATTCCACCCACCCCCAGCATGGACTGTTTGCCTCCCTACCCTCT